GAAAATGGTAAGATCCAAATTTGACAAGTATTATATAAAGTGCTGAAGCATATCAAATGTATATGAATATGTGTAAAAACATGTTATGGCCTATTTTGGCTAAAATGTTCTAACTGTCCTAGATCTCTTGGAAATTCCTTTTGAGTATCCACACTGTTCATTTCTTTTTTTGAGAGCAAATGTGTATGTTGCTACCTCAAGATGCTAAGCCACATGATCTTCACAAGTTAAATTCTGATTGGTCCAGGTCTCAGTGATACCTTAAGTATAGCACAGCACCAATAATAAAAATAAAAGTTACCTTTTTCCTCTAGAGATTGAGGAAGAACTTGAAATTCGTATTACAAAATGATTTACGGTTCTTGGGAACAAATTTTATTGCAAATATGAATATGGTAGTAGAATTTCTCAGGCTTATACTTTTGAATTTCTGGTGTTTTCTTGGGAAATTGGGGGGCAGGGATGAAATGTCTGCATTATCTGTCCAACTTGTTTTGAGTTGTACTATTATTGTTTTATTTAGTAATAAACCTGGATATTTTCTGGCAAAGACATATCTCTGAGTTACCAAAAAGAAAATATTCTGCAGGATATAAAAATATTAATAACAGAAAGAGTTAATTCTATTTCTAAAAGTGTCTTGTGGAGCCTAAAAGTAGCTGAGACTATTGGGATAATCTGAGTCAATTATATTGAATTCACATAGGGTGATTATGTAGTTCTCAGCTCCTCCCTCTACCAGCTGTTCTTAATCAGTCTTGATTCCTTAGTTCAACTAATGCCCCCTACAGAGCTGAAGCAAGACTCCTCTCCTGCTCAAGCAAGACTCCTTAATAAATGCTCACTCATTTGGATCAAGTTCCCCTATCTCCCGCTTTTCTACTTTTTGCTTCCTCTCATTTATTTCTGACTTTCTTATATCAAATATTAACAATTTCTTGTTTTCTTTTAGCCAAAATGTAAAATTTCCATAAAAAGGGAAATTCACAATACCTGATTTTTTTATTTGGACATCAGAGTGGAGGTCCAGAGAAGTGTAAGAATTTCATATTTATTCACTAGTTGTGGCCAATTGTTAGACCTAAAAAATATTTAAGAAATAGATATCTATAGTCTCATTTAAAAATTATTTCTTGAACTGTGTCTGTCATCTGTGGTACTATTTCCTTACCCATCTGTCTTGAATGCTATTTAGGTCTAAGAGTGATGTATTTACTAAATGGAAATGAATAATTTGCTTATATCCATCACACATTGACTTTTTCTTAGCATCTATTTTCAGACAACTAACCCTACATCTTCTGAGACCACATTTCTGTATTTGCACAAGACATTATTTCAAACAGGGCAAAATTTAATAATTCTATGGAAGGACGGGGCCTCCCTGCTGGTGCAAGAGGTTGGGGCACAGATCTGAAGCTATCCGCAGCCACTGAAACACAAGTTTGATCCCTGGCCAGGGAGGTCACCCACATGACACAGCAGACCTCTTCTGACTTGCCTGCTGCTCCCCTCAGCAGTGTAGTTCAGTCAATCTGCGTGTTCTGTTTCCCACTCTGTCTCTGATGAATCCTCTCCGCAACTCCCCCGCCCCCGCACCTCTGGCCTGTACCTCAGTTCTTGTATGCATAAATAAATAAATCTAAAAAAAATTTTATGGAAGGACATAACTTTACTAATCATGTAATACCAAATTGCCACATGTATAGCACACATGTTACCTTACATGTAAAAATATAAGTTGTATATAATTTGATATCTCTGAATATGTCAATATAAGCCATCAACGAATACTGAATTTTCAGCTCTACTTAAAGTAGCTACTACTTGCCGTATATGATAACATATTCAAATATTTTGAAAACATTATTTAATTCAGATTATTTATTTTTTAAGTTGTATTATTTTTTATTGAGGCAAGGTTGGTTTACAATGCTGCATATGATTTAGTGGTATAGGTTTACAACTCTTCACATGTGTGTTATCACACTATGCCTACTGTGCAGTACCCTCATTTCTTCACCATTTTTCCTTGGACCCCTCAACCTTTTGCATCCCATCACTCAACCCTTTCTACTGGTAATCTCAATTCTGTAGTCATATTTGTAGGGATTTTTTTGGGGGGGGTTGTTTTTGTCTGTTTTGTTTTGTTTCTTTATATGCCTCATGGGAGTGAAATAATTTTGTATTTATCTTTCTCATTCTGACTCATTTAACTAAGATTTATTAACTAAGATTTAGTCACTCCAGTTGCATTCACTCCAGTTGCATCCAGTTGCAAATTATAGGATTTCACCTTTTTTATAGCTGAGAAGTATTCCACCATGTACATATACAACCTCTTCCTAATCCACTGATCTCTCTTTGAACCCTTAGGTTATTTCCATAACTTAGTTATTGTAATACTGTAATGAACATAAGCATGTATAAATGCTTTCTAATAATTAGGTTTTTTTTTCATTTTTTTGCTTTCTCTGGGATTAAACTTCAATAGTATTTTCCATAGGGACTAGACTAGTTGATATTTCTATCAACAGTGTACATATTACTTTTTCTCTCCACATCTTTACCAGGACTGTTGGTTCTGGAAATTTAATTCAGATTTTAATAGATTTTCAGTATAAGAATCTATAAGTCTGGTTTCCAGGTTACTGATATGCAACATAACATTCCTATATTGAATTCTCTGTTTTAATATGGATTTGCATACACTCTGAGAACAAAACGAGTCTTTCTCCATCAGTTCAATCCATTGCAGTCCAATTTCCCTACCTATATAAGAATGACATAGATGCTATGTACTCTATCAACCATGTGATGTCTTTCTTTAATCACAACTATATCCATAGACTTCCTTTATCCTGCAGTGGTTCAGTCATTTCTGCCCAGGTATTGTCACATTTTCAAAATTATGCCTTTCCATTCCCCACCTGAAAAACCCCATTTTCAGTGAATTCTTGGGAAATATTTATGGAAGCAAAATATTGATGATCTTATTATAATGTACTAATAATTCATTTAAATTGATGTTTCTCTTCCTAACATTTAGAAAGAGATGGTAAAAAAAAAGTGTTTATTTTAAGATGCTCCCAATAATGGAATTTCTAGTAATGAGAAAATGCCTTTAGGTGGGATAAACTTCTATTCTCATGTCCATGAGCAATGGTGTGCTTGCGTTGGTTTGTACCAACATGGGAGAATCTATTTTTAATGGTAAGAAATATTGTCCTCATATATATTACATTCTAATGGTAACAACAATGAAAAAAATCATAAAAATCCAACTTAAGAGGCACATGTAAAATATATATTGGATATATTAGGTCAAATTCTCACTGAGAAGTTGATTCTTATGTTGTGACTTGAAGGAATAAGAGAGTGAGGTTTATGGACACCTGGGCAGAGTATTTACAGTAGAGAGAATGGCAGGTGGGAAGACCCAAAATCAAGGGTGTGCCTGCTGTGTTTGGGGGGAAAATGTGGGCCAATGACTGGAATGAAACGAGTTGAAGAGTTGGTGATAAGAGCAGAGAAAATCAGAAGGGCCAATTATGGAGAGCCAGGTAGTTATAATTTGAGGCATTTTAAGTGAAGAAATGACATGGAAATGCATTTTTAATGGAATCTATCTGCTACTAAAAAAAAGAAAGAAAGAAAGAATAGATTGGCTGGGCCAAGAGTAGACACCTAAAGACCTATTAGGGAGTTATTATCCTATCCCAGTGACTTGGACTAGAATAGTTGCAGGAGAGATTATTAAAGACAAGTAGATTGAAAAGGCATAGCTATAAGATTTGGATTGAGAGGGAAAAGAGTATAGGCTAACTCTCAGGTTTTTACTTCAGTAACTAGATCTGAGGAATTTGCAGTGTTAGAGCTTGGAAGGGAATCATGATCTTATTTTTAGATATATTAAAAATGCTTGTTAGATTTCTAAATGAAGTGTTGAATAAGCAATTGTATATATAAGCATCTAAAGTTCAAGGAAGCTAAAGGTATAAGTTGTGTCATCACCAGAAAATAGATGGTGTTTAAAATTAAGTGGTGGGATGAGATCAATTGGGGAGAAAATACAGATAGGAAAATGTTCATTTAATAGGATAAGATTTATCCAGATTATTGTAGTTACATCACTGCTTACATAGTAGTCTCTCTTTTTCCCCTTACCTCTGCACATACACATGTGTTGTCAAAACCAACAAAATACTTATTTCATAGTCTTTAGAAAATTCTGAATCACTACTATTCACACTTTAAGATTCAGCTCAGACATCATATTCTCTATTGACCTAGAAAGTGAGTGAACTTTCGATTTAATAAAAAATAAATAAATCCACCCCCCCACATGAATCCCCCTTTATTTAGTTGATATTCCTTCAGGTCATTGACTGTTGCATCACTTTTCTTGCCAATTAGATAATAAACTTCCCAACAAAGAGCATCACATACTGCCAATGCCCAGGACTATATTTGAAAAATTGAAAACACGGTGTATTAATGAATACAATTCAAGAAACAGCAATATGAAGTGAGAGGAAAAGAATGATAAAGAGAGTTTGCAGGGTAAGCAGTGGAACGGGGTTTGGGGGAGGGAGATCAATATATATTTTATGCAGCGTGTAAGCCTGGTTCTGAAAAGCCGCATGCAATTTTTACAAACATGGAGTACATACTGTATAACTTAGCAGAACATGATTCAATTTCCTCTTCTGTGAAATGAGAGTGTTGAACTAAGTCCCTTCCAGCTTTAAAATGCAAAGGCTTTATGACTCGGATTCCCAAGTGAAATGTGATCTGTGATTCGTGCCTGTTTTTCTTCCGTGTGTTTGGTCATGCCTACTTATCTAAAACCTCTGTGCTGGCCGTGAATGCCCTCACCCCTCCTGCTTAATCTTGCTTCCTCTCAATCTACTTGGTAGACTTTAATAACCTCATTATTTTATAAGTTATTATTTACTGCTTTCAAAAATTCACGTTTGCAATATGTGTGTTTACTCAGTTGCCTCACTTTATTGTTCACGATGTAAAGAAACACAACAAAAATCCTTTTTGTAAAAATTTTTAGAGTAGACAATGAAATGATCTCTAAATCCTATAGAAAAACTGGATGGAAAGACGTGCCAGGATTTTGCAGTGATTATAATCACTCACACATGGTGCCTGAAAAAAAAAAAATTGCCATTGATTCATAATGCCATCAATCAGGAAATGTTAAGGTATTAAAATCCTATCCCAATCCTCTTGCCATCTTTTGTACTTCATTCAACATTTGCTGTTAAAATATAACCCTATGAAACATGTACATGATACAGATTTTACTATAAACTGATTCCATTAATTCAGCCTTCAATGGTGATTTGTTTCTGAAATTAGGCACTTTTTATAACAACTTCCAAAGCTCAAAATCTTCATTCTTCTTCTTAGATTATAGAAAAATCCCTTGGAGAGAAGTATTAGTTTTAGAATTCAGGTATTTATGGTAAAGTGAAATAAAGCCCCAAAGTCTAAAACTCATTAAACCAAAACATATTAGGTCAACTTTAAATCTCTTTCTTACTTAGTGCTTAAAAAATAATACAAACCCATTAGTCTCCCTGTTCTTGTCAAATACACAACCTGGAGTTGATTTTTCATTAGAGAGGAGATTAATTTTAAAAGCCAGAATAATGGAAAGTTTAAGCCATACTAAATGAACCATATCATATTTGTAACCTAAATTCTCCCTTTGCAATTGCTAAATAATTAAAGAAATCATATTTCAGTACAGTGCCTTAGCAACGATATGAATATTTGTTTTATACCAGACCTAACTTCCTACAATTAATTGTACATAGCAATTTTAACCAATCAACTGGCATGCATTTACTGAGTTTCCATAATGTGATAAATGCTATACTTGGTTCTGTAGAATAATAGCTTTCAAACTTTTTAAAGATCCACAGTTAAGAAATGCATTTTATATTGTTAACCAGCATACATGCACACATTTCAACAGGAAGAAGTTAGAAGAAACATAACTTAGATTTATATCATTGAAACTCTGATACTGTCTTTGCTTTCTACAATACTCCATTCAGTTCATTTATTCTATCTAACTAAAAATTGTTGATTGAGACCCAGCAGAGGAAAAATACTGCTCTAAAGTCCATAAGGACTATTGTCTTCAGAAGGCTACCACTAGTACAGGAGAAAAGATGGCATGAAGTGAAAGGTTCGGAGCAGTAAAGAAAAGGAGAGCCAGGCTAAATTTCTCAAAGGAAGGGAAAATTTATTGCACCTGGGGAGGACCCCAAGGTCGGGGTCCATGAAGCCTTGCCCATTGTGAGGAGAGATGTCTCTTTTATAGGGTGAGGAGAGATTAGGCAGGAAAACTGGGTTGGAAGGGGGGAAACACGTTTAGGTGGAACAAAGTTGTTTTCTCCTGTTTATGGCTTCAGTTTAGGTTTGATGGTATCGGTGGTCCTGGTGTCAGGGTCATCTTTTCTTTTTCTATGTGGGCTTCCTCATTCCTGGCCCCTGCATCGACCTTTCATGAATCAAAATATAGTTTTATATCAGAGTTAATGAAACTATCTTCAGAAAAAAATGAAAGATTTAGGAAAGACTCTGAAGAGCCAAAACAAGGTGGTCAAGTTAAGGTACACATGGAAACGGTTAACTCATGAGTGTGTTTTCAGAATAGTGATAAATGATCCTGGAATGCAAGCTGTGTTTGGACACTAGGAAATTGTAAAGCAGAGAAATAGTTTGTAATTAGATGCGTAATAACTGAGAATGAGAGAGATTTTATACCTAATATAGGATAAACTAGAGAGCAATTTAAGGAAATTTATTAGAAATTTGATGACATGATTTTTTAAGAATGACTATAATATTGAAAAAGTACACAGAATGAATTATAGCTGAATGATTCCAGAGAGAGGAAGACCCACTGTAGCAGTAATTCTGATGTTATGTAAAGAGAATTCAACTAGGTGGTAGCATCATGGATATGTGTTAAATAGTCATGGGTATTATGAACTCTGCTTATAGAGATGACACACACACACACACACACATATATATATATATATATATATATATATATATATATGAACAATCTATATATGATTGTTCCCTTTACATTTTTACCTCTCAGAAGTTATGAATTATATAAAACAATGGTACTTCACTAAACAATTAAATTAAATATATTACATTAAAGAAAGACAAGGAAGAAAGGAAGAAAAATAAAGAGAAAGAGGGGATGTATGAAAGTATGAAGTAAGGGAAGGGGAAGGTGAGATGGAGGGAGGAATGAGAAAACAAAGAAAACTAAGAAATGAAGAATTTTGTTTCCCAGGAGCTGTTAATTTGATCCAAATATCACCTGAGTCAGAATATTTAGAGATTTAACTTCAAAAAAGAAACAATTACACCGCCATCCTGTGGATCTGCTAGGCTTAAATTAAGGGCTGCTTAAGCCACCATTCTGGCTATGCAATTTGGCCTTTTCAGTACAAAGTCCATTTGGCCCAGTCAGTCAATTACCTAAACTTAAAGAATGGGAACTACCAATCCTGCAAAGGTTCCTCTCAAGTTAAATAAAAGCAGGATGCTTAATTCCCTGGGACAATGAGTCTACATCACCCGAGGCATGACCAGGAACGCCTGGGGAGCCATAGACTGATATGTAACTTTGCTTCCCAGAGACTGGTCAGCAGGGAGTGCCTCGCTGATAAGATTGGAAACCCAAATGGGGGTCTGACTTGATTTCGATCTTCAAACATGGATCATAAAATCAATCCATATCCTCAGACTTACCTCCCCCCAAAGCCTACATAACCTTAGCATAAATTCACTTCCATCACTTTTTTCTCTTTGTTCTCCTACTTTGAATAACTGACTCTGTAAAATCATTCAATCAATAGGGCCTCCCCTGGTGGCCCAGGCAGTTGAGCTCCGCCCTGTGAAGCTGTCTGCAGCCTCTGCAGTGTGGGTTCAATCCCGGCTGGCAGGTTCGATCCCAGCCTGCCTGCGAGGGTCCCACAAGGCGTGCAGACCTCTCCTGTCTCGCCTGCTGCTCCCCTCAGCAGTGTATTTCATCAGTCTGCCTGTTCTGTTCCCTGCTCTGTCTATGGTGATCTTCTCACCCTCCCGTGCATCTGGCCTGTTCCCCGTTTCTTGCATAAATAAATACACCAATAAATCTTTTAAAAAAATTCAATCAATAAAAAGGCCAGGCTTTGCCTTCTTAGCAGCATCCTGCCATAACAGCTTGCTCCACGACTCCCATTTCTTTGACAGTGTGGTATTCCCTGACACAACACCATAACAGATCTGCTTTAGGCTATTTAGGATTAACTAGGAAATCTGCATTTATAGCAAGTACCCCAAAGGACTGACACCATTTGAGAATCATTTTTATTTTTCACTTGAATACACAGAAGCTGGGGACATTAACTGATGTTCAAGGTCATACTGCAGGTGATAGAGCTAAACCTACAAGTTTTCCTGATGTTAAAAGTAAAAACAGTTTTGTATATAAACACTTCTGACTGGTTTTTGGCTCTACTCTTTTCTACTTCTATGACCCATGTCAAATGGATTAAGCTCCCTGAGCTACCAGTTCCCTTTAGGAAAAGGAATAATTATATCTACCTTAAAAAGGTTGCTTAGCTTGTTTGCAGGATTCAAGATAAAAATTTTAAGCCACCAGTGTTTGACAGTGTTCCATCGTTGATAGGTATTGTTAATCTACCGGCTTTCATGGGTTAGTAGAACAAAGGTTTAAGTGCTTGGGCTCTGGCACCAGAAGATGCATGCTCAGATCCCAGCTCTGCCCTTTACTAACTTGAGGGAAGTGCTGTGACTGACTTTTGTCAGTTTCCTTCATTGGTGAAATGGTGACAGTAATGTAACTCCCTCAAAGATTTGTAGTGAAAATTAAATGAGTTAATACAAGTCAGGAACTTAAAACAAGACATGCCAGATTCTCATACATAAGAACATATATAAATTTTAATATGCACAGAAAGAAAAAGTGAAAGTTTTGGGGGGCACATTGCTCTTGAAGCAACTGCTATATAGTCAGACAATTTCATTTAGAGAAGAGTAAATGTGAAATGTGGAGCATTTAAAAGAGGTCAGTACAAACTTAAGAGTCAGGAATGCTTGCATACCTGTTTCTCCTGAATATATCTCAAATTTAGGTAAGATCAAAGATTGGATAGACTGTGTGTTCCCCATTGGTGTCCCTGTTCTGCTGGTTATTTTTCCTGTCTTTTCCTTTTTATGACTTTTCTTCTTCTTTACTCATGATAACTTTGTATTTTCTTTGGGTTTCCAATGAGCTAGAAATGCAGTTGTTACACATGAGCATATTTTATAGCATACTGACTATAAAATATTGTGTTTACTAAAGTCACAAAATAAATTATTATTCTTAAAGAGGAGAACTCACTTTGTAGGCTTTGGATAATGTCTGTCCATTAAATAATTCAGCTCTCAGCAACTTAACTAGGTTCGTTACATAACATAATAAATTATATTAAGTAATGACTTTCATTTAGAAACATAGCTTTATTAAGATTAAGTTAAAAGAATGGGTCATATTTAAATTTGTACATAAAAGCAGGCAATCACCATTTCTGATGATTCTACTTTCAAAAATGTTCTCAGACTTTTGATTTGTGTGTCTCAGACCTCTAACACTATAGCCACCACCATATTACAGCCATATTTGACAGGGCTATTGTAACAACCTTCTAATGAGCATTTAAGTGTTTCCATATACAGCAAACAAATCTTTTGAGAGCACATATTTTTATATATTTTGGAAATTAATCCCTTGTCAGATATGTATGAATTTCTTCTCCCAGCCTGTAGTTTTCCTTTTTTTTTTCCTTGATGGTTTCTTCCTTTTAAAAAAAAAATTCATTTTATATAATTCTTAATCATTTTTCATTTTTGCACAATGTATGTATTTTCATTTTGGTTATATTCCCCATACAATTCCCACCCACCCCCCTTATTTTGGCCCTAAATTTAAATTTAAATTATCTAAATTATGGTTTCAGTTATTTATGGTTTTGGTCATTTCTCCAAGATTTTAATCCATTTTTTAAAAAAATATTTATTTATTTATTTATGCAAGCACTGGGTACAGTCAGAAGTGCGGG